TATAGGTGTCAATTGTAAAATTAAATGGACCCCACTATGCTCAATGATAGAAGGCATAATATGTAATTTAGTAGAAAAGTGCAGGATTTTTTCTAAAGATATTAAGAAGGTTCAAATAATAAGGGTCATAGTACAATTTTTTCTATGCAATGCTTATCACTTTGAGAAGTTGAAATGACAAAAATATCCCCACTTGCCAATTGAATGCCAATAAGCAGCCTTTGAAACTCTCTCTTCTAATATATAATATATATATATAAAGAGAAAGAGAGAGAGATTGTAGAACGTTTGGAGCAAACTGAGCCTTTTAAGTGAAGTAAAATTTGTCATTTTTGTGTAAGTAAGTCATTAAGTCTTAATATGATTGAATTTGCTTAAAAACATGTTATATGAATTATTTATATGTATTGAAGGCATCTCTGATTTATGCAAGTGTATAAATATGAGTTAGGTTAGCTATTTTAAAGTATCTAGAGTTGACGGTTACCTAACACATGTTGTAACATAATTTGATACTTGTAGCCAATTCAGAGATATGATTATTATATTATTTAGTATGTCTTATCATTCACTAAGCTTTCAGAAGTTATTTGTTTTTTTTTTCTCTTATGAAATATGTTAAGGTTTTCAGAACATTTTGTAACAATTTTAATAGCACACACAATCTAATTATGATTGTATGAATATATTCAGATTTGCAGTCAGTGGGTTAAAGTTGAGTCACTTGTATTTCATATATGTTTGTGTACCATATGAGTATGTGTATGCACTATCAATGAATTTATAGACTTGTCTTTTAGAAGAGGGAGTTGTGAAGGACGAACACAGCCCCAAAAAGTTGTTCCAAATGTAATTTAAGTTGTACTATGTTAGGGCCCACTTTATTCAACAAGTATTGAACTAGCATTGATAATACATAAGTATTAATTATAACCTGGCGTGTAATTCTTTAAGTCCCCACGTGTCTATAAACTTGGTCCAATCTGATTGGCTATTCAATATCTTTTACTTTTGTATAAACACCGGTACTATAGTTCTTTCTCATCAAACCACGTGTACTATTTAGGCAAATTTTATTTTCTTGATTTGCCTACCACTGATTTCTTCCATTGCTTTCTAAGTTTTTAAATCTCTCTATAATTATACATTTTTTCTTTTTAATGGTTTTCAAATTTTGTCATCTGATAGTGAGGAATTTATCGTTCAAATTTCTTTATTATTGAAATTTTGTTGTCTGTAATCACCATTTGTTTTTTAGGGTTGTTTTCTATTAAATTTTGAATATGCATGTACTAATTATTTTTATACTAGTTCAATACTTGTTGAATAAAGTGGGCCCTAACATAGTACAACTTAAATTACATTTGGAACAACTTTTTGGAGCTGTGTTCGTCCTTCACAACTCCCTCTTCTAAATAAGGGTAATTATTTTAAGTTTTATAAAAGAAGCCCATGATCCTGCATGAAGAAAATATTCCTAGCATGTGAAAATGATTATTAAAGAATAGTTATTTATTATTATTAATTAGTGGATTTTTTTAACGGGTGATGTAGTAGTGAAATTGCTTCCCACTTAATCAGAGGTTTCAGATTTGAGTCTTAGGTAAATAAAAAATCTTGTTGGGAGACCCACCTCCGAATGGGCCCAATAATGCAACAACAACGATATACTCAATGAAATTCGCAAGTGAGATCTGGGAGGATATAATATACACATATTTTACTACTACCTCATGGAGGTAGAGAGACGATTTCGAAGGACCCTCATCTTAAGTGTAGACAATGTACCCTAAGCAAGACAATTCCACCCTACCTACTATCCTTCTACCCTAATTCTACCCTAATGCGAATCCTACACACCCTTCTGTCTCGAGTCTTATCATGTCTTATCACCTTTTTTCAATACTTTTTCAGCCTACTTCTGCCTCTCCTCGTGTCTTCTATAATCAACCTTTCGCACCTCCTCAACAGTGCATGTGCATCTATGCATCTCCTCTTCACACGTCCAAACTATCTGAGTCTCGCTTTTCTTATCTTGTCCATTACAAAAGCCACATCCACCTTATTTCGAATATCCTCATTTCTACATCATGCCTATTAATCCTAATATCCTATTTTAGTGGGTACTTAGTAAGTATCTACATAATGAAGGTCCCATGTAAAACTCATGTACCAAATTAGACACGTTCTACGGTTGACTAAAAAGAGCAAGGAAAAGTGAAAATGAAGAAGAAAGTGGTATTGGTAACCGGTGCTTCCGGTTACCTCGGTGGATGTCTCTGCCGTGAGTTATTCAACGCCGGCCACCATGTTAAAGCCTTCGTCCGCCGTACAAGCGACCTTTCTTCTCTACCTCCGCCTACTGACGGCGGAAGTAGCGGCGGAACCCTAGAGATTGTGTTCGGAGATGTCACCGATTATCAATCACTCCTCCAGGCTTGCTCCGGTTGCCAAATAATTTTTCATGCTGCTGCATTAGTTGAACCATGGCTTCCAGATCCATCTAGATTCACCTCCGTAAGCACAATAATGCTTTCGCTTAAAGGAAAACATTTTAATTTGAAAAATTACTTTTCCAGTATTGAGGTATAAAAGTAGGTTACTAGTAGATGACTGTGGAATGATAGCATCCGTTCACTTTTACTTGTCATGTTTGCTTCGCCCCGAGTTGATTTATATTCAGAGCTAAATTGAGTTAGATTAATTCCATATTTTAAATTTAAAAATTTAGACGTTCGAAAATTAGATGGAAAATATCATATGTTTCCATTCTTCTTACTTCTTATATTAATAATATAATATGATGAAAAATTACGTCTTGAAATGTTGGTCAAACTCTACATAGTTTGACGGTTGAGAAGAAGCAAAACGTGACAAGTAAAAGTGAACAAAGGGATTTTGAGTGTTAAAAGAAATGGTGGGGAAGTTTTTTTAATAATTTTGTGTATTAATTGATGGTGGAATGATAGGCTATAAGAATAGCCTTTTTGTGATATTTTTGAGTATTAAATGATATTGGAATTATAGGTTTTATTGTGATACTTCAGTACTCTAGAGATAGACTATAATGTTTATTGAAGTGAATGCTTAGGATAAAGAATTGGAAAACTGAAAAAGGACAATATATCTCTGAACTATCACAAATGGTACGCCAATACCCTCCAATTTTAAGAAAATGACCAATAGTAAGTGATTTCTTCCCATATGTTATAGCCTTGATAGACAAATTTACATGATACCTATTGTTAGTGGGAGCTGGTAGGTATCTCGTGGATTTAATCGAGGCATGCGCAAGCTTGCCCTGACACAAGGTTTTCAAAAAAGGAAAATTCCAGTTTTCTGCTAAATGAAATGTCCTCTTTATTTCTGCTTTTAAGTATTTATATCTGCTTTAGTCTTGTTGATGTTATTTGCACTGCATTTATAGGTCAATGTTGGAGGCTTGAAGAATGTGTTGCAAGCTTATAAAGAAACTGGAACTATAGAGAAAATTTTGTACACATCATCGTTTTTTGCCTTGGGACCAACCGATGGATATGTTGCCGATGAAGCTCAGGTACGAAAGCTAATCAACTGTGTTGTGTTACAGATCTAAAATAAATAAATGTATTCCTTCTTTTACAATATAAGCTTTAGATGAGACGGTTCATGTGTCATAGCAAGCAAATGGCTTGTGCTTGGGTCACTGATAAACTAATATTAGTCCAAGAAAAAACATTCGGCCCGCATGGTAGTAGGCAAGCTACATACCTAAACTATATACATGTTCTCATGTTTTTAAAGTTTGAGCTTTTATATATGAGGCAGTTCACACAATACATACCTAAAATAAATAAATGTTCTTATGTTTTGACGGTTTGAGCTTTAGATGAGGCAATTCAAACAATTTAAATGAAATATTTAATATGTTTAGATGGGCTTTTGTCGTAGAAGTTTGATTAAATGTTATCGAATTCAGATTCATTCAGGAAAATTCTTCTGTACGGAGTATGAGAAATCAAAAGCTGTTGCTGATAAGGTTGCATTAGATGCTGTGTCTGAAGGAATGCCAATATTGCCTGTTTATCCAGGAGTCATTTATGGTCCCGGGAAGGTCACGGCTGGAAATGTCGTTGCCCGTATGGTACATATTTCAACCTTCTTCCTCCCTTTATGGCTGAAAATGTAATTGCCTGTATGGTAAATCGTTTTAATGTTATGGATTTGGTCATAGTTGCATTGGCAATGCTCTTGTAGTTGATTAAAAGCTTTTACATGTTCTATCATTTCATGCATAATGACTTCTTTTTCCCAAGACTAAAGCATGTTCAATGATGCCAAAATTATCATTCTATAAGAGGGTTGTTTTTTAAGTTTTTTGCTTTCCCTAGAATTAGCAAATCATTTGAAGTTCTTTTAACTACTCTGGCTGTAAGTGAACGAAAGCAGAGACAAAAAATCAAAATAGAAAATTAAGTTGAGGAGAGTAGTAGAAGATTAGAAGAGGTGCATCATTCGACTTGCCTGGGAAAATCTCAATTGCATGTAAATCTCAAATGAATTTTTAACCAAAAGGAAAACCTCCTCAATGTGTAAATTTGAAGGGTATCAGCAAACTAAAAAAGGTTAAAATTAAGTTGCCATAATCAAAAAATTGAGGGACTCTGTATCTCACCTTGCCTTTCGATACATTACCTGTTGACGCTGCTTAAGGTCAATGCTCAGCTTGCAACCGTAGGATTTAACAATTTTACTAATTAGTTTCTGTAATTTAATTTGTCAAACATAAGAAATTTATATGTTATTGAGTTTAAACATATTTCTTTTTTCAGCTAATTGAACGCTTTAATGGGCGTTTACCTGGTTACATTGGCCAAGCAAATGACAGGTTTTCTTTTAGCCATGTTGATGATGTGGTTGATGGGCATATTGCAGCTATGGACAAAGGCAAACTTGGTGAAAGGTATCTTCTTACAGGGGAGAATGCGTCCTTTAAGGAAGTTTTCGACATAGCTGCCATGGTCACTCAGACAAAGAGGCCTTCGTTTGGTATCCCCCTACTTATTATTGAAGCTTATGGCTGGATATCCGTTCTTTTCTCCAAATTAACTGGAAAGCTTCCTCTAATCAGTCCTCCGGTAAGTAACAGATTGATACTTCCAAGTTTTTATTTGTTATACTGTTTTTTCTTAGGGGAGTATGCCTTAAGTTGTTTGAGAATTGAGACCAAATAGTGTTAGCAAAAGATGAAATTTGTTTATTGCGGCAATATCACAATGGCTGCATTGTTGCTCATCTCCACTCCACCTTCTTAAATTGCTACAGATCATGTGGATAGCAGTGCCTTCACATTTGGCTCTAAAGCGTGACAAATTGTTTCCTTTAGCATATATCTAGTAGACCTTTTTCATTTTTGTAGCTTATAGTTCTGGAGTATTACTTATCAAAAAAAGTACAGGATTAATATTATATATGTATCTGATTTATATGTATGACAACCATCTTTATGTTGCGTATCTCTGATTCCTTATTCCTCAAACTAAACCATCTACTTCTGGACTCTGCATTTGCATAACTATGGCAGTACATGTGCCTCTTTGCTCAGTCTTCCTTTTTAAAAACGTTTCCTACCCAACAAGATTTAGTATTTGCTGCACCAAACCAAAGTAGACAATGATGCTTGCAATTAGTACATCAGCAGGGCGAATTTTTTCATCCCTGACACAAAAACAGATGATGACTTTGAAGGCTTTTTACATGTTCAATGCGTTGTGGTTTTGGCTGACCTACATTTCTTTTCTTTTACCTCCCCCCCTCCTCGTTTTTATACCTGTTAGCTTTCGTTAGACCTTAATTCTTATCGTCTCTTTATACATCATCTTGAACAGACTGTTTGCGTGCTTAGACATCAGTGGGCTTACTCTTGTGATAAGGCAAAGTCAGAACTGGATTACCACCCGAGAAGCTTGAAAGAAGGTCTGTCTGAGGTGCTTCCCTGGCTAAAGAACTTGGGATTGATCAAATACTGACATGTAATATTTTTCCAGAATGTATGGTGTTTCATTACGTGTACATTACACTTATGATGACTATGAATACACAGTATTCAATAACCAGTGTTGATCACATGTTGTCGAGCTACTCTGGTGCTAAAACCAGGTTTCCTGCCTCATAGATCCTTGTATATGTGTACCTTGAAGATTTCATCTTAATTGCTACTGAAATGAAAGAACATCCACACTTCATTTTTTAGTTATAGCTAATTTAAACTGTACCACTTTTCACTTATGATTTGAAACTTTGATGGGATATAATATGGACAAGTTGAAGTATTATCAATATGAATTCGGGCGGGATAAGTCTGCTAAGGTGGTGGGTTTCCTACTGAAACTTTTTCTATTTCCAGGGCTAAAACTCGAACCTCTAATTGAGGGTTGAAGGCATTATTTCAGTCGTCCCAGCACACCTCACGATCATTACAAGTGTTGTACTGCTTCTGTTATTCGACAGGTAAAAACCTTACTAGAAATTTTACATGTTTGGTACATGTTGCAAGTCAACTTTACTTAATTGTATACAGATTTTGTAGACTGATAGTAGACAAAACATAAACTCAAATTTGAACTGCATTAATGCAGAAATATCCTCTAGAGCTGGACTGCTAGAAGATAAACATTGTAGTAGTACAAAACAACAAGAACAAAAATTGATACTATAGTTATGAATTGGCAAAAATGTCACTCCTAAAGAGAAGTGTCATACATATATGATAAATCACCTTGCTACTACTATCAAGGGGTGTGGTGGAATGTTGTAGGATTGGACATGTTCACCCTTTAACCAGGGATCTCGTGTTCGAACTTTGGTGATGACGCTTCTCCTTTAATGTGCGTTACGTGAAATTGGACTAGTCGTGCTATGACTAGTGGATGCCAGATATCAAATGGTTATATTATAGGAGAAACTTCGTAATTAAACATATTTTACTATCATATTACTATTTTTACCAATACTTTTAAAATATTACGTATCTTCCCACTAATTAAGAGTTTCCTACCATATATTGAGAAAGATACACTTAGATACATGTATTTTTCTACCAGATACACTAAAATAGGGAGAGAGGCGAGCAAAATTTTGTTATGTATCCCAGATACATACGAATCACAATAGATACACACTATACATGTATATGTATATATTTGGCGTGATTCACATGTATCTGGGATCCTAGATACATAGGAAAGTGGCGAGCGAGATGAGAGAGAGGCGAGGGATGACGAGCGAGATGGGAGAGAGGCGAGGGAGGCGAGGGAGGCAAGCGAGACTTTTTATGTATACCAGATACATGCGAATTCACTTGGACACAATGTATCTAGAACAAATTTGACTTTTGTATCTTGAGATACATGTATCTGGAGGCACCAAAATTTGGTAAAATATGTAATATTGCAAACTAGAGTGTATCTAAGTAATTAGCTCATAAACTAGTGAGATTTATATAAGTTTCCCATTACTATACACCTTGCTACTACCATCAAGAGGTGTGGTGACATGTCGCAGGTTGAAATCTCTTCACCTTTTAATCACACAAGATGTCTCAGGTTCGAACTTAGGTGATGACCTTCTCGTTTAACTTGCCCTGCATGGTGAGAAAATGGACTAGTCGGGTCATGACCAGTGGATACCGGATACCAGATTGCTACTATGCTGACATGTTACTTCCCTTTCCAATAGGTCAACATTGGGACCAAATTTTCTTTCTTGTGGCTGCAAATCTTGAAGGGAAATTGTTCCAAAACAAGAATTGCCTTGAGTTTGTTTGGTTTTATCCTTAAAAACCAAAGACACAAAGTCTGTATTTCATATTGTGTCAACCTCTTAATGTGGAAGTATCAATGAACAGCTGTTTTGTGTTTTTGTCTCACTCTTTTGTCTCTTAGAATTTGGAATACCTTTAGGCTTTAATGGCACTATTGACAACTCTTTAATTTGATTTGTGTTTTCATCCATCCATTGAAGCTGGATTGGCCCTAGAACATTGACACATCATATGTAAAAAATTTTAAAAAAATAATAAATTATTACTCATGCGTTATGTTAAATTTGTATCGTTATGTCATATTTTGTGGATAAGGTTTTTTAAAAGTAGTCTAAATATGTAAGATTGAGTTTTAAGTTGTATACACATTTGAATTGATTATTAAGTTTATATATGCTTAGCCAAGTGAAATCAGAATCATCAATAGAGATTAAAAGATGATATACGCAAATCTTATTTCTATCTTTGTGAAGTACAGAGGTCGTTCCCGATTAAAAGATGACATTCTCCCTCAAATTAATAGTTTATGCACTATGAATTAAACAACACTCAACAAAAAGAAGAGGCCTAATACATTAAAAATAATTATCTAAGTACGTTGGAGAACTATGAAATTTTAGGTTTAAATTCCAGTAAAAACATAAAACACCAAATGATTTTTTCATATTTGTCTAAGCCTTATTAGATAAAGTTACTCGATATTCATGCTTGTAGGAGATGACAAATATCTCGTAGAATTAATCGAGATGCATACAAGTTGATCCGAACACAAACATATTTTCTACTTGTGGCTGTAGATTGGTGGAGAGACATGGTTTGGGGTGGGGTGGGGTGGGGGGCACTGAAAGAGAGAATGTGAGAAGCAAACATTGGATAAAACAAAGATCCTTTGTGGGGAAAAGTTTTTTCTGCTTTCCACACTAAGCCACTTGAAAATTTCATGCTTTTTAAAAAAAAAAATATAGGATGAAAGAGTGATTGGTGGTAGAGAAAGTGATAGGAAAAGATTTTATAAAATGAATAAAAAAATTAAAACTCAAATTTAAGGAGAAGAGCTAAATTTATCTTTAAATTAGGCGAAATGTTCAAATTTTACGATTGTTTTGAAGAAAATTAATTAGGAGACACATGACATCAACAACTGCTAAGTGTCTTTTTGAAAATAAAGAGTAAAAACCCATTTTTATAATGACGAGAATATATTTGACCTCAATTATTAACCAAGATAAATTCGTTTTGTTTTACCTAATTCAAAAATAAATTTGACCAATACTCTTATGTAAGCAAGCAACATAGTATAAGACAAAATAAAATGTTGTAAATCTCCTTTCTTTCTTGATCACCTCCTCAATTTTTTTTATTTTTTTTCATTTCTTATCTTTAGATTTATAAATAAATATATTTTTGAATTATTGAATATGTTTCTAGTGTAAAAGATGAAATGTCCATCTAAATAATGTCACTATGATTGTGAAATATTCATGACTTTTAACTAAATACCCAAAATTATAATGTGCTTTTAACGTGACTTAAAAAGGGACCACTAATTTTTGTCCTTGCCTAACCCCAAACCAAAAGGCAACAACAACAAATAAAGAAAATGATGGAACCATTTTAACTTTGAAAATTAGTGGACGAAGATATTTGACTAAGCTTATAAGCTGAAGAAAATGTATTATTACATGTAAAGAATGTATATATCCGATTTATTTATACCTATTCGTTAAAAGAAATTGTGGACCTTTTGAATTGATGAGAATACGTAGATTAAATGATTTTTGATAAATAGAAGAAAAAATTGTTTCATAAGAGAAACATATATCGTAAGTAAATTATATTGAATGACATATTCATCTCAAATCAATGAAGGCAAGAAACATATTTTTTATACATAAATTTATTATTTAATTATATATATATATATATATATATAAACTATTTTAATATATAAACTATTTTAATTTGATATAAATATCGAGTCAGAATCGGAAAGTATTAGAAGATGGGAACGTTTGACTCTATCTAAATCGAACTTTTTGAAGTTACATAAACCTACCAAATTCCCATCAATAAAAAATAATAATCATTTTTTTACGTCTCTAATTTGTTTGTTATTCAATTTTCTACTAAATATAGTAAACAAAGAGTCTAAATAAAGGCTTCTAGAAATCATAGATCGAAAGTCATTGTTTTTCTTTAACATGAAAAAAGCTTAAATAATCATTAATTCTTTTTGTACATACTTTTTAACATAATGTTAAGTTAGAAATAATTGTTCATTTTAGTTTTGAATTTCTAAAGTAATATTTATTTTGTGATATTTTTTTTAATTTAAACGACAGTTAAATGAGATCGAGGGATAATTGAGTGAAAACTAACTCATACAAGAATCCGATCTTAAATACTAGATAAATAAAAATGAATGAATGAAGTAATAAACAAGGATAAATTTAATAAACTATACCTTATATTTATTGTTTTTTTTAATGATTATAAAATAAATTAAAACGACACTTATTTTAGGAAGAAAAAATTAATACAATGTGTTTTTTTATCATGATCTTAAAAAGGACCACTTATTAGTACACGTGTGTGTGGTCCTTGCCTAACTCCAAATTAGGGGTGTGCACTATTTGGATTAAATCGAAAAATCAAATCAAATCAAACCAAATTCTAATTTTGATTGGTTTTTTGGATTTTTGGATTTTTGGTTTGGTTTTGGATTTATAATTTACTTTGTTTGGTTTTTTGATTTGGTTTCAGATTTAGAAAAATGAAAACCGAAAAACAGAAAAAACCGAATTATATTAGAATTAAGTTGGAGTTAACCACTTTTGATCCTTTTTAGTTATTTTCATTATGATTTAGTTTATTTTTTTATGTTTGGACATCTATAATTGATATACTTTTAACTATTGTGTTTTACGTTTTACGTGTGATTTATATATATATATATATATATATATAATTTTTGTCAAATTGCAAATATAACTTTGTTATGTTTCTAATTACTGACATAACCGATTAACCGAACCGAAAAAATCCAAACCAAAAAGAGAAAAATCAAACCAAATTAAATTTATTTTGGTTCGGATTGAGTTACACTTCTTCAAAATAAAAAACCGAAAAAACCCAAATCGAATAGTATAAAATCAAACCGAAAAACCGAATGGACACCCCTACTCCAAACAAAAACAAATAGTAGCAATTTTTTATCAATCACTTATTATCAGTTTTAGAATCTCACAATTTAAGTAATTGCTTATTTATGCAATCGATTTCAACACTTAACACTTATCAACTATTTTCGATCAATGACTTATTATCAGTTTTGAAATCTCATAATTTAAAAATGTAACTATTTATTTATGTAATCAATTTCAACACTTAAAACTTATCAACGAGTTCAGGTAATTTAATTATATCTAAATTGAACCTTTTAAAGTTGCATAAACCTAACAAAGTTCCATCAATAAAAATTATAAAAAAAACTCATTTTCTTCTTTATGTCTCCTTGTTTGTTATGCAATTTTCAACTAAATTAGTAAACCAAAGAAACAAGAGTCTAATAGTAAAAGACTTCTAAAAGTCATACATTGGAAAGACATTTTATTTGTCTTTGTTAAATAAAGAAAAAATCATCATCATTTCATTAGAGGTAGGGACATTAAAAACTTTCTTAGATAAATGAAACATATTCATCTATATATATATGGGATTAACTAACAAATTATCTTAATCATATGTCTCAAGTTTGAGTCTAATCTGGATACATAGTCGTCTTTGTTAGAGAGCGTTTTACCTCCCAATATGGGACTTTCCGGAGCGAATCTAAATTTAATTGGGCTCTAATCTGAATACCAGATACCAGATGGGAAACAAAAAAAAAACTAATAAATTACCATTTTTGCCCTTGATTAATAGTTTTGACTCAATTATTGTACCCATTGGATAAAAATTGTATTTAGTTTATCGAACTTAACGAATGACATACTTAAACCTACGAGATAGTATAAGGTCTATTCAAGCTCAAAATTGGTGGTTAAGAAACTTCTTACTTTAGACTACATCAATTAAAGTTTTCACCAACTTGAATGAAAAATGAAAAAAAGTTGGTAAACTTCTTATTACAAACAACTTTTTTTCTTTAATTGTGTTGTTAATTAAATTAAATACTCTTTACCTACAACAAACATATATATTGGTCAAAGTATTAAATTTAGTGGGTTAACTGATGCTAATGACATGAGAGAATATGTGATACCTAGTCTTATATATAGAGAGGTCATACATATAACATCAACCTCGAAGATTTTGACAGAGTGATAAGTACTTTTTTTAAAATTAAATTTTTTATATTCGAGCCTTGAATATAAAGTTATTTTTGAAATAAATAGATTTACCTCAAAAGCGGATGACAAAAAATTTAAATTAATAAAACTCTAAAATAAATATCAAACATCGAGCGAAAAACTAAACAATCAGTTACATCAAAACACCTTTTCCAAAGTCATTTGCGTGCAGAACAAGGATATGAACGAAAATGAAATTTCCATATCTAAGTGGGAAGAAAATAGTCTAATAATTGTTTGATCAAATCAAAGATTCGTCTTGGTAATTAAGGGTGCAAAACATCTAACTTTTTTCCACTAATTATCTTATTATTCGATTAATTTAAATTCACGTCAATTATTAAAAGGATAAAACAATCTTCAATAGGATGCTCTCTATTTCCAAATTTAAAATTTGATACCCGTATTTAAGGATGAAGAAATATAAACCATCTAGTCTGAGCAGTTAGTAATCTCTCGAGACATTTTAAGAATGTGTATATATGTATTGCAAATAATTTTGTCTTCTTCATATTACCATATTTATAGAGTCAATAATTTCATGTGAGGAACTACTGAACTCAATCACTTGCTGCATGTCGTTACTCTTTAATTTTCTATTGAGGTACTAGATACCCATAATTTAGTGTACATTATATTATATTATGTATTAACTACTTAAATGAAAAAGACCCCCCCCCCCCCCCCCCACCATATCAGAGCTACCAGTCAATCACATGCCCAAAACCTTCAATTATATACTCCCTCCGTCCCATTTTATATGTCATCTTTTTACTTTGCACTTGCATTAAGTAATGATGCAACTTTACCCTTCTACCCTTATTTAATTTTTTTTGGAACTCAAGTTTTCAATCAATGAATATGAATTAATTTATTTTGATTAATTAATTTAACCAATGAACATGAATCATCTACTTAGCTTTTCTAAGTTGGTCAAATGTATATTTTCAAGGGTAAAAAAGGAACAATATGGTAATTTATGCATTGATTTTATAAAATGACAAGTATTATGGATCAACTATTTATAGAAAAGGATGACATATAAAATGGAACGGAGGAAGTATCTATTTACTATGCACCACCCCCAATAAGAACAGTTTTTTAATAACTATGGATCTGCGTCAATTTGCACGTAGCTTAATTAATTTTACAAGACCCACATGTACATTAATTAATTTTATGTGATATTTATTATCCTTTATTAGTATAAATATCAAATAATTATTTCCACCAATAATAACAAAAACCCATTCTTCTCATATCCTTATCTTTCTTTTTTGTCCCTTCATAAGACATTTTAATCTACAAGCAAGAACCTCCCCTCCTTCACCAACCCTCAATAACAAATATCCTCTTTTTTATTTATTTATTTTACAACTATGGGGTGTGGAATAATTTGCGCACACTTCAATTAATTCTACTTAATATTTTTCATTTTTCATCAGCATAAATATTGAAAAACTTTGTTCCACCAATAATAATGACACATTCTTCTCATATCATTATCTCTTTTTTTTGTCCCTTCATACAAAGAATAAAAATAAGAGTAGTTTGAGAAACACCCCCATATATTAAATCTTACAAGAAAATTTATTATCTTTCATCAACATAAATATCGAATAACTCTGTTCCACCAATAATAAAAGATACCTTCTTCTCATATCCTTATCTTCTTTTTTTGTCCTTTCATACAAAGAATAACAAAAAGAGTAGTTAGACACACCCCATATAAGATCTTACTAGCAAATTTATATTACATTACCCCTTCAAACACACATCCATATGGACAACCAACAACACCAAACCATCATGAGAACAAATCAAGAAAGTGATCATCAAAATTGTTCATCCAATTCATCATCTCCTTCACATGATTTCTCATTCACAATCTCATTTCAACAAACAAAACAAATCCCACCTCCTTCTTCTTCTTCAACTATTACTACTTCTTCATCATCATTTGCTATAGATTTATCACCTGCTGATGATATCTTCTTCCATGGGCACTTACTTCCTCTTCACCTTCTTTCCCATTTCCCTATATCCTCCCCTAGATCTTCCACTAACTCCCTTGATGGCTTCACACTTCCCAAGAAAGATCACTTTTTTCATCAACAACATAAAGTACTATTAGATGATGATACTTGTTGTGATGCTAAGGGAAAACCAAAGACTAATAAGTCTTTTTCACTATTTGGGATACCAAAATGGAGAGTACTTAAAGATCATCAAAAAGACCAAAACAAAGAAAGATCATCAAAACAATATAGCAAGAAGATGAGTCAAGTTGTTAAGAGGTATATAAAAATGGTAAGGCCATTTTTGTCATTTAGAAATAAAAAGATTAATATGCAATTTCATTCTTTTTCTGGGAATTTATTAAGAGGAAATAATAATGATACATGGCAATATTCATCAGCACCAGCTTCAATAAGAACATCACCTACAAATAGTGGTTTACTTGTAGCAAAACCAACAGGAGGAGATTATAGTAATTTTACTAATTCTTCATCAAGTGATAGCACTATGGAAGAATTGCAATCTGCTATACAAGCTGCAATTGCTCATTGTAAGAAATCTATTTCAATGGAAGACTAAATCAAATGAGTACTACTTGATTTTTTTGTGTAACGGATTTTAACATGTGATAGCAGGTTAGTTATTATATTTATCAGATTAATTACATATCAAGTAATATGTATTAGGAAATTTGCTTGTAACTACTTAATAAATGATCTGATCGTATAAATATTTTATACATCGTCATTGAATTGAGATTAAAGTACCATTTTTGTATATTTAAATTTATGATTTTCTTGTGTAAGTATTTTACAACATGAGATTTGATATATGGATGATGCATGTTGAAGGTCAAAAACATGGAGTTATTACTACATAGATTTTTCATTTGAAATGTAATTTGTTTTGCATATTATAAAATTAGTGTCTTAATTGATTTTGATTTATCTTCAACTCTTGCTAAAAGGTCAATAACACGGAGTTATATTTTGCTACATAGATTTTTCATTTGAAATTTAATTTGTTTTGCATATTATAAAATTAGTGTCCTAATTGATTTTGATTCATCTTCAACTCTTGCTAAAAGGTCAATCATATTAGGTTGTGTAAAGAATATAATTAGTCTCCATTGACTTAATTAAAATCTTGAATTTCATCCTCTTTAATTTGAGTGTTTATTTAATTAATTTTCAATATGGAGTGATACCATCTACATCTGGATAATGATGTAAAAGAAGCGCCTATAATTAGTCCAAGTATTTTTGGTAATTAAGAAGTCACTTGAATGATCAAAGTCGGAGTTAGGGGGGCGCAAGGAATTTATTTCTGTATTTTTAAAATTTTTAATAAAAATTCTGATTCTATCGCTAGATCTACGTATACAACTTACCACTTGTTGAGGGCAATATTCTTCCCAAGTGGTACCAACAAAAAAAATATTCTTCTTCAGTCTTATTATTGTTCACAAGTCATCATGTTCACACACACGTATGACAAGAAGCCAATTTAATTACAATTTCTTTTTGTTTTTTGACATCAAACTTGATAGGGAAGTGATTTGAACTTCTTAATAATGATTCAAATAATTAAGTTGATAATCAAGTGATTTGAGCTTCTCAATTAATGATTAAAATTAAATACTCTAATAGTCCATCCATTAAAAAAACTGAATTTAGCAACAGACAAATTTTGTAGCTAAACAATAAAATTTGTTGCTAATTCTACTTAGCGATGAATTAACGATAAATTTCATTAGCTACGAGCAAAATAGCAACTGACTAGACGAAGTTTGTAGATAATTCTAGTGCTTTTTAGTAGCATATCTCTTTTAGGAATAATTAATATTTATATCATGTATCCTCAGTGTTACCAATGTAAACTTTATCAAACGAGTTACTTACGATTAGCTTTTAAGTAATGTAACATTGTATTTTTTAACTTTGTTTTATATTCATTGCGCGATGAATTTTATCGCTAGTTATTGACATATTCAAAATAATAGTACTTTTAATTTGTTGCATTCAAATTTTGAATTCGCTTCTAATTAGGAAACATTATACTAGATTTTTCAGAGCGAATCGACATTTAATTGGGCTCATTAGCCAACAAGGGATGTGTAACAACTATAGCACATGGTGCCCAAGGGAACAATAATAGACTGCAATTTGTTGTGATAAACTACTAGTCCTTAGTTATAAATTACAATGCATTAAAATAAGGAAGTATGATATTTGTTTTGAGACAATTATAAAAAAAAAATGTCATATTAAAAACAGTTATTAGTACATATTAGTTATTTTATGCACCAATACGATACGAGAAGGGGTGAATTAGGTTGTTACTAGTTTTAAAATTTAAACCTCTTTAAAGATTCTCAGAAAGTTTGCTTAGCCTTTAATATCTAATGATGGAACTCGTTTGTGTATTAGCCTTCTTTTTTTGTTCCCATAAAATGTCCGATGTTCGTATTGGAATTTGGAGCCCCGATTAATCGGAATTGCATACTATAGGGTCCATAATATGGAAGTGTGACACCCTCACCTCAACAGAATTTTCGTCATATCCAGAGCTCAAACAACTTAAAACCCCATGTTCTTGTGTTTTTGCTTAGTTACTGTAAATAAGAATGATGCGGGATAAAGTAAAGTATTCACAAACGTTTATGTGGAAAACCACTTTGGTTTAAAAGTGTAACAACCACAATCTATCTGTATAGTATTTAACTGAATATTGCACTACATGTGTGAGACTTCTTTTTTATCTCGTTAAAAAATGAACTCGAAGTTTGTGGAATGTAAGATATGAGTCCACTTTTTTTGCACGACACAAAAAAGTCTCGCATGACTAGTATCAATTATATGAGACACGTAATAAAAAATTTCGATAGACCAATTAGTCAGAGCGGGTTTGATGATTAGATGTCTACGAATTTGTATTTGTATATAAGTACAAATACAAATAATAATTTATGGGAAAATTGTATGAAATAACAAATTATTAATTCAAATTAAATGCTATAGCCATAGTTTATTTTAATTGTAATTCGCAACAGACATTCCCTTTTTTTGCCATCTGATTCGGTTTTCAATTAGCCATTTTCGATATGCAATTAGTCATTTTATAATTACAGAAATTCCTCAAATGGATACAATAATATAAGCGTTGATACATTAATCTGATACATGCACGAGATACAATAATATAAGCGTTGATACATGCGCGAGATACAATAATATAAGCGCTGATACATTAATCTGATGCGCGAGATACAATAAAATAAGCGCTGATACATTAATCTGATGCATGAGATACTATAATATAAGCGCTGATACACTGATCTGATGCGCGAAAATGAGGGATTTTGGAGATTTGTAAAACTTATAGGGGATAATGGTAATAAGTAAACTAAAATGTGAGATTTCTGTAATTTTTCCTATTTTAAAGCCCATTTCATCAATATAATATCATCTTTATAATTTGTATTGAACACATTGTATGGTCTTTTAACTTATTTAGCATTGATAGCGTCATACTAATTAGTTCTAATAAAATAAAATAAAAACCTAATTATTGATATGCTAACTTTACTTGAAAAAATATTGAAGAATGAAATTAATCATAAATAAGTTAAAAAGAACGGTAACCATGAAAATATCTTGCTTTGATTACACTTATTTTGAGTCAATAGTAATGTGAAAAATAATCGCTATACCCCATAAAAGTAAGAATAAGGTAGACATACATCCGAAGCTCTCTCCCATCTCCCTTGTGGGATTATGTTGAATATCTTATTACTATTGTTTAAATGATAAGTGATAACTCTATAGGGATGTAAACGTAATAGCTTAAGCCACCTTTTTATTCTGTCAATGTTACGAAGCCAAACAACCAAAAAAAGCTAGAAAGATCTCTAAAATTATTCCAAAAAATAAATATATGAATATGAAAGTTAAGTACATAGATATATATGAACTCAATTCAATTTAGAATTACTAAAAAATGAATAAATTAGTATGATATAATTCTAACACCTAAATTCTTCTGTGCAAATTCAACAAGATTGTTAAATTCATTTTCATCAATATATCCATTACCATTAGCATCTGCACCTTTTAGGCCATGTCTCCCTTTTAATCTATTGAACCAACCATCGACATTCATTCTTATAGCTTCACGTAGTTCTTCTTTGCTTATTTTCCCATCATTATCTGTATCGAATCTCTTTATCCATTTCTTGAATTCTTGCAAACTCATTTCAAGTTTACCATCACTCGCGATGTTTCTTCTATATGTACTCTTCAACGCCATTTTTAATCGAATGACAAGAAATTGATTATTTGAATAAATGTGTTATTGTTAATGAATGTCTTTAAGAGAGTCGATTTAATTTATAGTAGTAGTATTATGCTATAGTAGTAATATTAAATTAATTAAGGGGACATATTGTTTATTTATATATATTATTATTAATTAGAACCGAAAGCTAGTGCATGCATGTATGTACATTAATTCGAATAAGAATCAACAAGAATTAATTATATATGGTCCCAAAAAGTGTAAAGCCATATATAGTTAGGGGTTATCTAAATTATTGTATGTGAAAGACTAAATAAATAAGTAATTATACATATATACTTTGCATGGTTGCTTTTAGTTTAATTGCCCAATAATCGTACAATATCTATATGCCTTTTCTTTAGACGTGTATACAATAACCTTGCGATTCTCCGATCTTTATTTTTGAATTTGTGTCAGATTAACATATTAGCTCTTTATGAATGTGAAAATCTGTTTATATGATCTTAAACAATTTTCTCACCTCAGAAACTACCCTTTTTCAGGGTGAAGTTAGGGTAAAGGTTTATGAGGGGAACTAAAATAATTATCGTTAATAATATTATTAACCAAATAAAAATATTTATTTTTTCAGATTAAACTTTTAGATAAAATAATCAGGTACATTCATGATATAAAATTAAAGCAGATAGACAATGTCCTAGTATGCACGTGTTCAAGTCTCATCACCAGTACTTCTTATCATAAATAATTTTATAAAGTGCTTGACGTATGTCACACATGAAAAGTGTGTTGAAAATATAATCTAATTAATAAGAATATAACTTTTTCTAACAATTTAAATTATTTATATAATAGTGCTTAGTTGGATATTAGTGAAAGGTTCCTTGCCTAAAAGTACTAGTAATATACAATTAATTAGGTTAATTAAATCTTTTGGCTTCAAATTTAAACGGCAGTTGTGAATGGGATCTAAGAATTTGTCATTTAAAGACTAAATAATTCTACATATATAATCAATAATTATTATACAATTATGAGTATCCAATAATACAATATCCAAAAGCAGTGCAAGCCTCCTCTTTAGACATGTCCTCGACAATTTGATGGTTCTTTAATTTCTGCTTTAGAACGGGAACAAATTATAGCTTTATTTGAAATTTTTATTTTTATTTATTTAATCGTATTTTAAATACTTCCCTTCATTTGTGTGAGCTTGATTCCTTTTTACAAATTAAGTATGTGATTTTTTATTTCTTTTTTATGTGTTTCTTTTAAAAAATAAAATAATATATATATATATATATATATATATATGTCATCCCCGAGCCTACACCCTGGACTGGCTGGCACTCGAAGACCATTGCTGGCCTCAAGCAAACCCTTGGCCTGGCTTACTTAACTCAGCGGAAGACTATAAGCATTAAAAAAGAGATTCACATG